CAGCAGCTAGCCTGGGTTCCACCCAGCAACCCGTATGTCCCACCAAGCCATGCCAGGAATGATTCCTGAGCACCGCCAGGTGTGGCCCCCAAAAGAAACTTAAAAAAAAAAAAAAAGAAAAAAGCTTAACATAGGAGAATTCAGATTTCCCTTCACAAGTTATAGATAGGACCAAGGGCCCCAGACAGCAATGGGCGGGGTGCCGGGCTCTGCAGGTAAGAGGTCCGGGACTGCCTAGGGAGCTGCACCCCAGAACAGTCCAGGGGGCCCCCCAAAAGAAAACAAAAAGAATCATCACTCTGGTTTCCAGTCCTAATTACTCTTTAGAGAGTAAATACTCAGGTGAGGTTACAGAGAGGGCCTCTCCGGCGTAATCCAAGCAACCATACCTCGGTCGAGTCAGAATATTCAACTTCCTCTTCAATTCCTGATGTTTTCGTCGTCAAGGAACACGGCCCCGCCAAGAGACTCCAACACCAACGCCGCCGCCGCCTCTGGGACGGGTCACCTGGGCGGAGGGACACTGCGGGCGCCCAGGGGACCCACGGACACTCGCGACCCGGCGCAGTCCCGCAGGCGACAGCTCCCAAAACACAAGTGGGGGGGAGTGGGGGCACAGGCACCGCGCAAGGGGAAAAACCTCGGACCCCTTTGAACCACATTATCGGGGTGCGCGCACACACACATATACACACACACGCACGCGCGCGCACACATACTTTCTTTCTTCACTAGAAACTCTGAGAGGCCGGGACGGGGGGGCGGGAACGGGGTCCGGGAACCCGGCGAATCCACGTAACAACCCCCGTGCGCGCCCGGAAGCGCGCTAGACGCTCGGGGACTCCCGAGACCCAACAGCGCTGCGGGCCGGGCAGGGCCGCGCCGAGTGGGCCGAGCCCGCGGCAGCTCCGGGCCGGCGGGGCGCGCGGAGACCCCCGTTGCCCGCGTGGAACTCGGCCCCTCGGAATGTCGGCCCGGCCCGCTCCGCGCCGCCGCGGGAAGGATATTCTCGGCCCGCAGCCGCTCGACGGTCTCCTCGCACTGGCGGAGCCGCTCCCGCAGCCCGGCGTCCTCCACTCCGTTCTCGTCCGCCTCGACGTCGTCGTCGTCCTTGAAGCGGGTGTGAACGGGCTTGGGAATCGCCTCCTCCGGCGGGTCAAACGCCTCGAACAGTTCCAAGTCGCCGAAATCCACCTCCGCCGCCATCTTGGGCCGTGAGGTAGCTGCCAGCAGGGGCGGGGCTGGCCGCGGCGCCGGGGGCGAAGGTCGAAGGGCGGCGGCGCTCTCGGGCCCGCGCGCGCCTCAGCCCGCCGCCAGCCGCGGCTCCGCAGTGAGGCCGCCGCCGCGGGACTACAACTCCCACAATGCACCGGCGCCCCAGCCTCACTTCCGCGGGGGCCGGGAGCGGGGTGGGCTGGGACTTGTGGTTTCTAAGCAACTTCATTATTTGCGCTGCCCCTGGCATTGGTCTGAATGGAACTGGGTGTAGGTCGCCCCCATTCACTCATCTCCCATGAAACTTGAAGGGTAGCACACGTTCTGGAGGGCAGAATCTGGTCAATAGACTATTTTGTGCTTTTTTTGTTTGTTTGTTTGGGGGCCACACCTGGCGATGCTCAGGCCTTACTTCTGGCCTGTCACTCAGGAACGGGGGATTGAACCCAGGTCAAAAGCATGCAACGCAATGCTCTGCCTGCTGTACTATTGCTCTGGCCCTAAATAGGCTATTTTGGACAACCAAAGTTCAGTTTAATGGGCTTGTTTCGCTTTCATATCTAAATCAACGTTATTTAGATGTCTTTTTTTTTTTTTTTTTGCTTCTTGGGTCACACCCGGCGATGCTCAGGGATTACTCCTGGCTCATGCACTCAGGAATTGCTCCTGGCGGTGCTCGGGGGACCATATGTGATGCTGGGAATCGAACCTGTGTCGTCCATGTTGGCAGCGTGCAAGACAAACGCCCTACCCGCTGTGCTATCACTCCAGGCCCTAGATGTCATTAAAAAAAAAAAAATTGTACTGTATTAGGCTTTCCGGTAGTTTCTCTGGTTTAACTATTCGTTCAAGAAAGTGCATTTTAGGGATGGGAGATAAAGCGCTTGCCTTGCAAATGGTCAACCCCGCTGGACACCCAGACCAGATACGGTCCTTATCCTGAATTCGTAGCCAGGAGTAAACCCTGAGCACCGCTAGGTGTGGTCCAATCTGCTCTCCATGTCCCCAAACCCCAGCAAATGGAATGAATGGGTGGGACTGTAGCTCTTGTCTTGCATGTAATGAGGCTCTGGGTTGATTCCCCAATGTGTGAGTTTATGTATTTGGAAATTGAAAATGGAGTCTGGATTTTGTACACAGCAAAACGTGAGCATGTTCTATATGAATGTGTGGTGATAATGGTGGAGGGCATTTACTAGAGATTTCAGAAATAAAATTAAAGAGCTAGTTGCTGATTGAAATGTGGATCTGGGGAGATACGTATTTGCTGACTATGAGTATTTGCTAGGCTTTTGATTCAAGAAATAGACTAAATAAATAATCTTTAGATGAGACAATGGGCAGGGACCAAGTTAGGAATAATGAGGGAATTCCATCCTGGTTATGATATACCAAAGCAATATACTTTTTATTGGGCAATAGAAGTAACAGGACTTTCAAGAAGTTGGTCAGGTATTAATTGGCAAATTGAAGGTAAACTTTGAGGCCCCAGTGTAGAGGTTTAAGAAGCTGGGACTTTAGGTATAGTTACCAGATAAGATCTGAACTAAAAAATATGTGGTGTCCCAATTTTTTTTGGGAATCCCAAAGCCACCGAAGCTCAAGGGTAACTCCTGGCTTTCCACTCAGGTATCAGTCCTGTTGGTGTTTGGGGGATTGATTATATAGGATGCCAGGGATCAAACCCATGATGGCCTCATGCAAGGTGTCTCCCACCCATTGTACTATTTCTCTGGCCCTCTTAGGACTTTTTTTTTGCTTTTTGGGTCACACCCGGCGATGCTCAGGGGTTACTCCTGGCTTTGCACTCAAGAATCACTCCTGGCGGTGCTCAGGGGACCATATGGGATGCTGGGAATCGAACCCGGGTCAGCCGCGTGCAAGGCAAACGCCCTACCCGCTGTGCTATTGCTCCAGTCCCAGGACTTTTCTTTTAAAAAATATTTAGACTACACACAGCGGTGTCAGGGCTTACTTCTGGCTTTGAATTCCTGGAATCACTCCAGATGTTGTTCAGGGGACCATATAGGATGCTGGGCACCGAACCCGGGTCTGAAGCTCTGTCACATCTAAGACAAACATGCCCTACCCATGTACTATTGCTCTGGCCCCAACCTGGGCCTTTTTGTTTTGTTTTGTTTTTGGGTCACATCCAGCTACGCAGAGGTTACTCCTGGCTCTGCACACAGGAATTATTCCTGGCGGTACTCAGGGGACCATATGGGATGCTGGGAATCTAACCTGGGTCAGCTGTGTGCAAGGCAAACGCCCTTACCGCTGTGCTTATTGCTCCAGCCCCCTGAGCCTATTTCTTAAAAAGAACAAAGGGTGTGGGGAGCAGTATTCTCCTAGAGTTCATGGGCCCCCGTGCTTCTCAGGTTTGGCAATATTGCTGTCAACTGAGGATCTTGAGATGCTAGAAATTGAACCTGGAGTCTCCCTAAGCCAGGCAGATCGAGTACTTCTGAACTTCCCTCTCCCTGTGAAAAAAAAAAAAGGAATTGTTTTTGCTTTTTTAGAAGATGCCCACTTGTGCAGGGGTTAACGTGTTTGGGACCCTAACATGGTGCCAGGAATCTAACTCAGGGCCTCACATTTGCAAGGCACATGCACCTGTCAAAACTAAAAAAAAAAAAAAAAAAAAAAAAACAAAACTTGAAAATTTAGGCAGAGGGGTTTTCCAGGTCATACCCAGATGTACTTAGGGAACCATGTGGTTTATATGACAGGTAAATTCCCTTACCCCTTCTCCCCAGTAGTCAACACCCCAGAAATGCATCTTACCTCCTGGTACTCTGCCCCCTCCAATAGAAAAAAAGATTTCAGGTATTTTGGGTTAAACCTGGTACAATGGGGTGCTGGGATGGAATCTTGGTTGGCTGCATTCAAGGCAGGCATCCCAAGCAGGGCTTACTTCTAGCTCTTGGCAGGGCTCAGGGAACCCTACGGAGTACCAAGGGTCCAAATCAGGTCCGCTGTGTGCAAGTGCTCTATCTGCAGTACTGATGCTCTGGCCCCATACATGAAAAAACTATTTTTGGTTTAAACCCAGCATGCTCAAGGGACCACATGGGGTGCTGGGGTTGAATCTGGGTTGACTCCAAGGCAAGCACCCTACCATCACTCTGGCTCCACATTAAAAATTTTAATGGAGCTCGTTTGAAATGGCAGAGCTAGGGGCCAGAGTGATAGAACAGCGGGGAGGGGAAGTTTGTCTTGCATGTGGCCAATCTGGGTTTGATCCCTAGCATCCCATATGGTCCCCTGAGCACCACCAGGAGTGTTTCCTGTGTATACACTGCTAGGTGTGACTCAAAATGCAAATAAATAAATAAAAATAAACAAATAAAGGGAGAAAAGGCAGAGCTAAACTCAGGGGAAAAAAGCCAGGACTGGATAGAAACGGGGTTCTGGTTTCACTGGCAGCTAATCCCCACAAGCGCCACTGGAAGTGCTCTGGGAAACATCATTTTAATCAAACTACATTTTAAAAAAGTTGCCACTGATTTTATCAGAAGGCTTGCCCAGTAAGACTTAAGTGACTACACTATTTTTAGGCCACTCCTGTGGGTGCTTAGGTGCCACAAGCAAAGGAATGTACACCAGTCCTATGAGCTCGCCCAGTACAGGGAACACTGAACAACTTCCGGGAACCACTGCTCCAGGACAGAAACTAAAAAAAAAATTGTTTTGTCCTTATGAACACACTTCCACCTTTTATTATGCTGCTACATCATACATTTTCCTAAGAATTTTCCCCTGACTCCCATAATGGAAGGCAAATTAACTCCCAAATTCAAGTCTTTTCTACATCAAATTTATGTAGCAGTTTATTGACAGCGTAGCTCTCTAAAGTTTTGAACTTTATGCTAAAGACTTCAAAGGGACAATGAGCAAAGGGCATACAAAGAACTTGTTATAAGGCACTTTATTAAAATAAAAGTGCTTACATCCCTTTAATGTATTACTCTATTTCCTGAATAACATAGGAATATTTAACAAATACTGTACACCAATTCTGTCCTTGTAAATAAACAGTATATTCACTAAGTCCTGCTCACTCCCAACTTCCTTTTACATTTTTGCTCACCATGGTATTGCCTATAGCATAGTTAGCTGTTCTTAAAAAAAATTTTTCTAGCTATTTGTCTAATAGCAATTGCAAAATGCTACAGAAACATGAAAACAAATTCAAACAAGAATTCCAGGTAACTTAAATTAACACCATTTTTCAGAAAACCATTTTTATTATCACCACCCATTGTGCTGGGTATGTACCAAATGGCCAGATCGTCTAAAGAACATCTACATAACATTTCTTTCATGTCTCAAGAGATGAAAATAACTGTACAAGGTTAAGTACAAAAGTACACAAGACAGCGGACACAAAAAATTCCATGTATGAGATTTTATCCCACCTGCAATTTTTATATATTTGAAAAAGTAGAATTCATGAACTAAAAAAATTGTCCTTCTATAGTCCTGTCAAGTTTAATGGAAGTGGGTTTAACCTGATTACAACACTAACACCAGTATCACTGATCTGATATTTACAAAAAAAATTGTATATTTCAATAAATTAAAGTCAATGCAACACCCATGCAAGCTAGAATGCTAGCTGTTTGGTGAACGAGGGCCTGACACCAGAATCAGAAGTCTCTAAAGTTCCAAATTTAAGAGTACAGTCTCTTTCACACTGCATCCATTCCTCGCATTGATGATGTGAAACCCAGCCCCATTCCTCGCTGTGTGTGGGTCTGTGATCTTGCCATTTCATACTGGGCGTCTAGATTTCGAAACACTTCTTCCTGTTGCTTTAAAGTCTTGTAACTTTCTTCATCAACTGAGCTACATCCAGCTTCATCTTCACTCTAAATGCCGGATAGAAGATATATTAAAACCCAGGGAACAAGTGTTCTCCCACTTCTCAGTATTAGTGAATCATTTTTTCTTTGGGCCATATCTAGCTTAGTGCCTGGGTAAGATGCCTCGGTCTGAACATAGGTCCCCCATAAAGCATGTGCACTAACCCTTTCAGCCATCAGCCCTGCCAGTAAATATTTCCAGGATACAAATTTGGTATTAGTCACCTTTGCTTTAACTTACTATCTACAAAGCACAGGTTACAGTATGTATTAAAAATCAGAATTCTGATGGTGGGGCAAATGTACATCTGTGAAGCCAGTGTTGAAGATTTCATGACTAAAACCCCATCACAAGCAAATTTCTCTTATCTCACAGTGATTCAATTAAAAAAAAATCATATTGGCTCAGTCTTTGGAGGTGAGAAAAGGTTCTTTATGGTCCTCCAAGCAGCGCCAGGTGTGACCCCCCCCCAAAAGGTCATTTCAAGGAGCTGGAGCCAGACCCGTAGAAGGCTCTTGCCCTGCACACAAAGTGGCCGACCCAGATTCGAACCCTGGCATCTCATATGTGCTCCACCAAGGATGACTTCTGACTGCACAGACAGGAGTAGCCTCTGAGCATCACCGGGTGTAGTGAAAGAAAAAGAAAAAAAAAGATTCTGTAGAGATAGAATCTTACCCTTCACATAGCCCAACCACCCTTCCCAAAACAAAAAAACAAGACATGGAACACATTTAAGCAGAGACAAGGAAAAGTTTATGCAAGAAATACTGGAACAGGTACACATCCTGCAGCAAATGCAATTCTTTTCTCACGTTTTAGAGTGGACAGTTTAATGAGCATGTGCAGGTCTTTCTATCAAAATTGTTTCTCTCTCCATCAACACCCGTTTTAGGTGTTAGGTTAGAAACCAGGTCATCACTTATATAAAAAAATAAAAAGTAGGTGCTTTCCCACAGAACTATTCTTACTACTCTCTTCATGTCTTAAAGAAAGACATCTGTGTGTGTGTTATGGAGAAGCCCTGGTCTAAATGCACAGCTTGCATGCTAAAGTCCAAGCTGTGTATAGTCAGAATATAGGTGCGGCCCGAGTAGAAGGAACAAAGGGCCAAAAAGATGCCCAAGACCCCATATGCAGGAGGCCAAGATTTGATAACTCAGACAAAGATAAAATATTCTGAGCCCTGCTGGTTATGGCAAAAGCAAAATACAACACAAATTTAAATACAAAGTCTATGTAACTCACCTTAATACCCATTAATTTCCTAAATTTGACATTTTGGTCCTTGTTTCCAAAATTTAGTTTTTCCCATATTTCAGCAGACTGGGATTTGTCCTGTTAAGATTTAATAGTGGAACTTTAGAATGCATAATATTTATCTTTTATTAAGATATCAAGTTAAGAGTTTGTACAGTGGGTAAGGTTCATGCCCTCTGCACATGGCCAACCTGGTTTGACGCCTAGCAACACATACTTTAGTTCTCGAAACGTCACTCGGTATGACTCTAATACAAGATATTAAATGTTGCCATAATATGACTTGTAAGACAGCAACTCATAGCACCTATAGGAATATTGCAGGGCCTTAGAATACCTGCTTTATGAATGTGCAGGTAAATCTCCAGTGATGACCCTCCCCACCCCTCAAACAAGCACGTACTGCGTGCGAATCCTTTTGCTGAAGCAATTTCTAGCTATAGCCAGATTTGTATGAGCAATACAAAAAAAAAGGGCACCTGGTGGCCAGAATGATAGTACAGATGTGCCCAGGTTCAATCCCCGGCATCCCATATGGTCCCCCCAGCACCACCAGGAGTAATTCCTGAGTGAAGAGCTAGGAGTAATCCCTGAGTATTGCTGGGTAAGACCCAAAAAGCAACAAAACAAACAAAAGATAGTACAGATGCAAGGGCAACTAGCCTTGCACGTGGCTGACCAGGATGTGCTCTGAGAGCCAAGAAAAGCTCTGAGCACCACTAGGCGTGACCCCCAGAAGCACAACAAGACGTGCATGAGCTATGGCTATCCTTAGTGAGCACAACCATAACTTGTAAGCTTTAACTACGAACACAAGCTCCAGAAGGCACACCTTGCAAGTACCGCAACAGGTGAGTGTGCAAAGTGAAGTCACGCATGAGGACAACTATGAAGGGGGATATAAAATAGTTCACAATTAAAGTTCATTACAAAGAAATAAGCAGAAGAGCACTCCATAATGGATCCCATGAAAAAGACCCAACGAACTGCTCCTGCCCTTGAATCTCAAACTAGCACTTTCAATGCAAATACTGGGTCCTGGGGATTGAACCTAAGGGGCGCTTGCCTTACAAGTGGCTGACCCAGGAGTAGTACGCCTTGGGTACCCCAGAAATGTAGGCCCAAAATAAACCCCACAAAAAAACATGACTTACTCCTTCTTTCTTTCCTTGCCAAAGCATTTTCCTTTTTTTTTCTTGCTCAGCAAACTTCATTGGATTCACAGCTGCCGGGTTATAATAGCTTGGAACTGCTATCCCCGTCTCTGCCAAAGCTTTAGCCTGCAGGGCTGCCATCTGAGCTGCCATAGCTATCTGAGGAGTTACTTGCGTTCCCGATGCCAAGAGGGCTGCAACGTTGAGAACAGAGCCTCCAGTAGCTGCAGCTGCTGAAGAGTTAAAGACCAATTTTGTGATTTATATACATTACATATAAGCTACTCATCTGTGGTATGGAAGGCCAATTGCCACTCAACAGAAGTTCATTAACCATTAGCTTATTTAAAATACTCCAGCCTTTAGCAAATACATAAAAATGTGCTTTTATGTGTTTCTTTAGTTTACAGGTTTCTCTACTTGAATCCCAGGAACATCTGACAAAACTAAATTAGTATTATGTACAATAGCTACTAAATCTGTGCACTATGAGCCATAATAAATTTTAGTATAATTATGTATTAAAGCAAAGTGGGAGTTTGTGAAACTGATTTCACTTTAAGAAAGAAAAATGTTGTACTGAATGAGGGTGGTACATCCTTTAAATATAGGTGACCCAGGTTCAAACCCTCTCACCTATGGTTTCCCCCTGCATAGCTGGGTGACTGACTTCAAATAAAAACCAAAATAGCAAGTGCTTTGTTAATCTAGCATCACCAGGTCACAATTTTGTGTATCATAAGGGCACATGAGCACCCACACAAACCCATACCTTACCACCACCAAGAAAACAAGACAAAACAAGCACCACCCAGAAACAACCTTAATTAGACTGCGTACAACTTATCACTGGACCTGAAAGAATAGAATAGTGCTTATGGTGCCTGCTGTGCACACAGAGGATCTGAGCTCAGTCCCTGCATATGGTTCCCCAGCACTGTGGAGTGAGTACAAAGCCAGGAACAAGCTTTGAGTATAGCTGGGTGTGGCTCTAAAACCAAGGAAGTTCTGATTTTCACTCATCCACAGGCAATGTTTGTGATACTCGATTATCTGAGTAATAAAAATTCATATTCAACTTCCATTCCCTCTAAGTTATATTTGCAAAATCCATACTGGGAATATATATACGTGATGTATCAGGCATTATAGAACAACAAAGAGCCAATATTCATCTGCACTAGGGGGAAGTCACTTAGTGTCACAGTACATTCCTTGATGGAGTGAATCCTAGGGTTCCATCCCCCCAGCATGACCAAAATGATTTAGAGTATGAACAGGTAATAGGTAACAATGACGGGGGAGCGTTCTTTCTATTACTTTTCACAATGTCTACAAATATGCCATTATTTACAAATACCTGCAGCTATTTCTTGTTGTTTTTGTTTTTCAACCATTTCCTTTTCTCGCTGTTCTTGTAACTTCTTTGCCCTTTCTAATCTGTTAAAGACAATTTAAATTAGATGAAGTAAAGATCAATACAAAATTATCATGTGTACTTACATTTCTTTACATGCAAACACTCAGACATTAAATACTATATGGAACTTAAAATTAACATTTACATTGCCTTTACAAATTGCAAAATGGGGAGAAAAAGTATTTCTTTAGATGGCATCAGTCATAGAAAATCTCAACATCGATGTAAAATAATTCTGAAATCGTAGTATTCAATTATTTTAAGAGTTCATACATTTATAGTTTAAAAACAAGTTAAAAAGTAACATTTCAGTGCAGGTTAAAGAAGAATAAGGTTAAGTTTTGGATACAAGTGACAACAAAGCAAAACAGGATATGTTAAATAGTACTTGTCTTTTATAGGTTTATCTAAATGCTTCTTGGCTGAAGCTGATACAAGCTAAGGTCAATCAATGCAAGCAGATAATGGTTTCTGCATTTTAGCAGTTTTAATTAATCTTCAAATTAGTAAAAGTTAAAATGCCAAGAAAGGGCAAGAAACATAATTTTAAATAACCTAAGAGGGGCAAAACCCTTTATACTATGAAATTACTTTTAGTAGCTCAAGAAATTTAACATTAGCATAAAACTGGAAACATGAAAAACATTAATGTCAAAACAAAAATTCTGTTTCATACCAAGTTCACCAAGGAACACATATACTAAATGTTCTGTCAGGTGAGTCTATTTCCTTTGGAGATATTACTATTTCCATCAACTTCAAAGGAAACAACATTTCTTTGCAAAGGTATCTTAATTTGCAAATCACATAAACACTATCCCTCCCTTAATGTGGTGGTAACAAGATCCAGAAAAAAGATTCTATCTTTGGAAGCTAGTGAACTATATGTAAGATGAAACTGGCATCTGCTTTCATAGCCAAAATTTATATAAAAGAAATTTAAGAATTTATTACAAGGAAGACACACTAAACAACTTTTTGTCCTTGGAAATAAAAAAATGTTTTTGATTAAGGGTAACATTGACGTTTAGGTACCCATCTATAAAGAGTTTCAAACATTTTTACTATAGTCCTCATTTAAATACAAAATGTCAAGATAGTCAAGGAATAATCTGGTATATGAACCTGTCATCTCAAAATAACTCCTTAAACCATCTAAGCAAAAGGATTTTAGGTGATAGACTTCTTTAATAAAATCTTAAATACAATTAGCTTATGTACGAATAAAGGGTAAACTTAGGGGCTTAAAAAATCAATTGTCAGTTAACAGACCAATTAAAATTAGTGCAGATAAAGTGATAATTTCCTAATACTATTGATTTTAATTCCAAGAAGAAACTATGACTGCTATTGGTTGCATGAAAACGGTTCACTGCAGGCCTGGAATCAACCCATTCACTGAGGTGAATGGACCGAAGAAGGATGAGCTCACACCTTTGCTGCTGCTGCTGCTCAGCTGGAGTTTCTGCCAGGCTGGAGTCACAGGGCAGCAGCCCATCAGGTTACATTGTGAACTGTATTTTTGTAATGGAAAAAAAATACAAACTCAATTTCATAAAGAAAAAAATGTAAAGAGTATAATTTTCAGAATATGGAAAAAATCTGAAAACAAGCACTTAGATTTTACTCTACTTCTTCTCTTGCCTCTACAGGAGGCAGCTCCTGTCACTGGCACTGTATTCTGTCTTGATGTGTGGGGTCTTTATAATAATTTACCTTTGAAACTCTAGAAATTGGAAAAAAAATCTATATGCTACATGCAGTAAATTCAACACTGAATAAATTGGCTTATGTTTATTATATGCCATCGATTGGTAGAATTTCACTTCTTTCAGATACTGTTTTCTTAATAATAACATCAAAGACAAAAAAAAAAAAGCAAGCTGAGGGTTCTGAGCAACAGTATAGTGGATAAGGTGTTTGTTTGCCTTTTGAGCAGCTAATCTGGGTTCCACCCCCAGCACCCCATAATGGTCCCCTGAGCCTGTCAGGAGTGGTACTGGAATGTAGAACCAGGAGTAAGCTCTGCTGGGGTACTGTCCCTTCTCCCAAAGAAGGGGGGCCGGGGGAGAGGAGCAAGCCAAGGTAACAACTTCTAAAAGGTATTCATTTTATCCACACAATTGAGTTTGCTACCTAAAGTTGAAAAGGGAAGACTGGGTCAAATAAAAACAAACATACCTTCTTGCTAAAGCCTCCTGTGCATCCATTGCTGTGTTTCTGCCTCGGAAAGGAGGTGGACTAGGAGTTCTACTTAAACTTCTACTGAATCTTCTTGGTTTTTCAATCCTCTTCTTTCTATCTCTGAAATAAATCATACTTACAGATCAACACTAAAAAATTGCACAAGAAACATACACAATACAAACTCATTTCCACTTCTGTCCTTTATTTTCCTAGAGCGTGTATTGCGCTTTCCATATCTAACCAACCCTGTAAGTATATTTAGGTTATTCTCATCTTTCGATATTAAATTCAGTATTCCAAACACAAGACTTGTACATTAGTTGTTTTATACTTCTGTAGGTCAATATATAAATTCCTATTGGGATAAGTTAAACATTCTTAGCACTTTAATATACAATGAATTTGTGTAAGTTTAAAAAAAAAGAAAAAAGAAAAAAAGCAGGGGCCAGAGAGATAATATAGCATTAAGCATATGCCTTGCACATGGCCAATCCCCGGCATCCTGTATCTTCCCCAAACACTACCAGAAGTAAGCTCTGAGCACAGCTGGTGTGGCCCAACAAAAACCAACCAAAATACCCATTGACCAGATTCTGTGTAATCGTCAGAGGTCGCCCTTTGCTTTTTCAGCCTTGGGTGATGCAAACACCAAAACTAAAACCAAACCAAACCAAACAAAAGCACTTAAACTCTCAGTTTAACTGAAGTAGTGAAGAAATTTAATGATTTTATTTAACCATATCTTTTTGACTACTTTAATATCACAATATAGACCATATTATCTAGGTAGGTAACATTATGGCTCCATCATTTTAAAACTTATTTCTGTCTCTTAAACAAGTTGTTCAATGGACTGAGCTTGCAGAAAAACTTGATCCGAAGATTAAGAGAGCCTATGCTTCACAGGCCAAAGGCATGGATTCAATCCCAGGTACATTATGGTTTCCTAAATGTCACTGCATGATCCCCAACATTAAGATGCAGCAGTGCTCGAGCACCTGCCAGATATGGCTCAAAAATAAAAATCCAGCATGGCAGGCAGTACATATATACTACTAGGATTGTTGTTGAAGACGTACAATGAATTCAACATGTTCAAAATTGAAATGAATTCTCCCTCTCTGCTTACCCAGAACTGCAGGGTTTTAAACTATAACATTGTATTGTGAGCCTCAGAAATGTTTTGGGGACCCTCTCAGCAGTGCTTGAAGACGATACAGTGCTGGGGATTGAATCGGGGCCTCTCTTAGGCGTGCAAAGCATGCATTCAGGTGCTATTTTTATATATACTTTTAAAAATGCATTTATTTTTTACAACATTACATGTATTTGTCACATAGTATTTTACCACATCTGCTAACAGCATTTAACATTTGTACTCACCGACTTCTACTCCTTGTCCTACTTCTGCTTCTACTCCTATGCCGGTGTCTTGATCTTGAGCGGGAACGAGATCTGATCCTCCGTTTTCTTTCCCTGCTCCTGGATCTTGACTTCTTCCTCTCCCTGCTCCTGGATCTTGACTTCTTCCTCTCTCTGCTTCTGGACCTTGACTTCTTCCTCTCCCTGCTTCTACTACGATGACGCCTGAAATGATAGTGCACAAACTTGTAGTTGCACAGATCTGAGTCTTTCCAATGACAGATAATTCAGTTATCTGTAGAGCATATAGTCAAGATAAGCAGCACATTTCTGTATTGGGCACAGAAAAGACAACTGACCTCGCTTTAATATTTAACACTATGCTCAGGGGGCTACTCTGGGATCAGTGCTTGAGGATTACTCATGCTTGAGATACTCTTAGGACCAGGTGGTGCCAGGGTGAAACCAGACAGCCATAAACAAGAGCAAGGAAGTGCCTTAAAAGCTCTCCTCTCTCTCCAGCCCTGAGATTTTTAACTAAGTTGTAACAAATGAAATTTTATTCCTTTGGGGCTTTTGAAAATGCAAGCTGTAAACTGTAAAAATGCAATGCACCCTACTCCCAACCTCAGAGTCTATTTAACAGTTGAAATCTACTGTTTCAAGTGTCAGTATATTTTAAGGAACATACTTGTTAACTTATGATTAAAAATTTTTGACTTGCAGGCTGGAGTAACAGTATAGTAGGCGTGGTGCATGCCTAGCACACCCAATCCAGGTTCAATTCCTGGTATCATATGGTTAGCCTGAACACAGTTGGATGGCCTGGGGATCCCTAGCACTGAGCTGACAGCTCAGCTGGCCAAGCAGGATTAGCCAGTGGGAGCCAGACTTCCAAACACTGCTTCAGTGACCCTCCTCACCAATTTTGACCTGTTATCATCGTAAACATATTACTCTTCAGCTTTCTCCAAAATATGTGGATTAATACAAAACCCTACAAATCTAAGTTTGGACTCCATTTTTAAGCAAACACATGCAAGGGAAGCAGCTCAATCCCTGTATACTATCTGTGTCATGACTGTGTTCAAAATCTTTACATTTATGGGGCTGGAGAGATAGCACAGCGGGTAGGGCGTTTGCCTTACACGTGGTCGACCCAGGTTCGATTCCCAGCATCCTATATGGTCCCCTGAGCACCGCCAGAAGTAACTCCTGAGTGGAGAGCCAGGAGTAACCCCTGTGCATTGCCGGATGTGACCCAAAAAGCAAAAAAAAAGAATCTTTTCATTCATGCCACGAAAGTCTTTATTAATATTTTGCAGCAATCTGTAATTAAACATGGCGACTGTTGTACTGAATTTATATAAGCATGGTTAAAAGTAAAACTCAAGAACCATTAGGGAACAACAGAGCAACATTTCTCCACTGGGGGTCATGTGACTTCATGTATCTTAGGAGGGCCACAAAAAATCTATAGAATTGGCATGAGATTAAGGGGCCAACTGGTTCAACAGTACAGCAAGATAGAAGGACACAAAGCTGGAAGAGAGCCATGGTCAGAAAAAAGGCAAGAAATACCACAGCAGAGCACAAAATAACAGGCTAACTTAATTAAAAAAAAAATTCCCCCTTCCTTTGGTCTTTGGATCACACACTAGTGGTACTGGGGACTGAACCTGGGGCTCTTGTATAAAGAAAATGTGCTCCAGCCCTCTGTGTTAGCTCTTCTCTCAATATTCGACACTGCACCCCCGGCAGTGCTCTAGGGACCACGCAGTGCAGAGGATTGAAGCCTGATGCAAAGCATTACTGACTGCCCAAAAAGATGAGAAATTTTATGTTGATACTTTTTTACAGTTAATTTATACCAAACTATTTACCTTTCCCGTGACCTAGATCTTGAGTGACTTTTGCCTCTTGACGATTTTCTTTCTTTGCGTTTATGTCTGTCCTCACCATTTTCAGAAGAATTTAGTCGTTCTCTTCCTTTATCAGAAGAATGATCTTTGTCATTATGTTCTTCAGATTTGTGTTTCTTAGAGGATTTATCTTTGGATTCATGTCTTCTTGCCTGTTTTAAGAAGAAGTTGGTTCTTTCAGGAAAATAGTGCAACAAAGAGAGTTAGTATGGGTAACAGCAGACAAAAAATGTTGTGATGCAACATTAGTAACCTTAGGAGTGTGTGGCAAACAAAATTCATTACCTAGTTTCACATCACCCAAATGTTGCAGATACCTATATTTTTATAGCAACCCCCCAATAGTTTCCTTCCCAAAATATTTTCATAAAAAAAAAAAACTTTCGAAGTTAAAATACTGAAAAACCATTGTCGGAGAAATCCCTGATGTTTTTCCCATCTAGAAGCATTAAGAGAAAACACACAATGTACCCAAACTTTCAAGTACTTCAACAAATCTCTTAGAGAAATAGATAATGTACATTTGGCAACTTCTACATACAGAATACATACTATTAAGCTTAAATGTTTAATGATAAAGATAATAAGGACACAAAGAAACAGCATAAAAGTTAGGGAACTAAGAAAAATCTGAGGAAGCGTTACTTCACTGCAGAAAATATAATACAGAGTTGAAGTGTCCTTTGAATAGCTAAACTGCCACAGACTTTCTAAATGATGACTTTATATTTTTATCCCAGTGTCTTTCCATCTATGTTGAAATCTCCCAACAGGCCCAGAGCTCTATTACATTTGGAATACCTAGGATAGAAAATGGCAATCATGGTTTACTTTTCTGAAATCAAATTAGTATGTAACAGTCTGTATATCACTACAGTCTACATTACACCCCTATACTCTGAAAGAGTAAAATCACTTAAATTACAATTTTAAAGCTGGACAGAAACATCCTAGAATTCAATTCCCTTATTTTGATTATGACTCAATCAAGATCTGAAGCCACAATTATACACAGTATCAAAGCTGAACCCGGAAGACTTCATGCTGTCACTGCTTTCCTAGCACATTGGGAAACTTATTCTATGTTCTCCCCAAACAGGCCACAGCTTATTTCTACTCAAGGTAAACATTTATAAAAAGCAAAAAGCAAAAAAAAAAAAATCAACAACAAACTTGGCCAAATATTTTGGAACATGCATGAAGAGCTATATGGAAAGAACCACAATATGTATTTTATTATTTTGCAGAAAAACGAGAGACCTGGAAATAGAGCTCAATTTTAGGTCGCCAGTTCTCTATAATATGAAAGGAAATTTCCTTGGCTTCACCATAATTACAGTGGAAAAATGTGATGTGGTTAAGACTGCCAAAGGGCTTAGAGTTGATCTCAAACCATTTTTTCAAACATAGTATTACTATTAAAAACAAAACAAAAAAACCAAAACAACAACAAAAAAACCATTAAAACCCTTAACTGATTTAAGATATACTTAAGGGAAATAGGAGTTTGAATGACTAATAGTTACCTTATCATGAAGTAGGCTTATTATTTTGCTATCTGAGTCTGCAGCGTCTTCAGTTCAGTCTCTTCGCGCATTAGCACGCTGAGTATGATTTATTATAGAAATGTTATCATGTGAGCTAAACAAAATAGTCATTTTCACAAAAACTCTCCTAAATTAAAAATGTAACAGAGCTTCCATTAGGGGAGGAGGTGAAGTCCCTGCCCACTTTTGTTTTCGAAGTCCCTTGCCCAGCCCCCACAAGACTTCTTTTGGACTATTTCTGCTCTTCCTCGTTGGCTCATTCCTTGTCTTCTCATGCGGGCAAGAAAGTTAAATGTCTGCAATACAGCTGCTTTTTTTCCTCAAGATTTGCTGTCATCACCACTTTTCCAACAATCCCTCACTGACACTTTTAAAGTCAATATTGCTACAAGGGAAATGGAACTAGTTAACCAGAAAAAAAGGAAAAAAAAAAAAAGAAAAGAAAAGAAGAAAAAAGGGTTCTATCTTCCACAAAGAAAAAGTAGCCCAGAGATATCTAAGGGACTGTGATGGGCAGATGATTGCTTTAAAAATCCCGAGTGGTCATCAGGCATAAGGAGATCTGGGACCTCAGGTTAATGGAAGCTCTGTGTGACAGGCCTAAAAAAACCAGCTATATTCTTCATATGAAATTTTTATTGTGAATATTTTCACATAATAAAATTAATAGTTTTGAATGAACTTTGCATATAAACAAGTATCTTCTTGAAAAATGATGATTCCAAATCATGCTTATTATAACCCAATTAACCATTCAAATTTCAAGTTTTGGTACTTACCTTGGCAATCATAGTCACACAAACATTTCTACCAGATAGTTTTACAAGTATTTTTAAAGTACCTATTCACTACAAAGTTTTAATTACCTCTTTGCTTCTGCTCCGGCTCCTGTGTTTCCTTCCTTCATTATCTGTGAACATATAAAATCATCATAAACAGATTGCCAAACATACCAAACTGCAGTATTTGCATAAATAGCAATTTGCAATCATCTTTCAATTTCCATTTTCCAATGGCAGATATTGCCTTAGATTAAGACTGTATATATGAAACAATGTAAATAACGGATAAAAGAAAAAAGTGCATGACAAGTCATTTACAAAAGATGCTCTCTAGCCCATCTCGTTCCCCAGTCTACAGTAAATTAAGACTCCCCCATCCCCCCCAAACCATCAAAAGCAAAAGAAAACTAGCATAAAGTGAGAGTTATGGCTCAAAGGTCTGCAGTACACGCTTTGCATGCTAGTCTTCAGTTCAATCCTGTACAACATGTGCTTTCTGAGGACTCTGGGTGTGGTCCCAAAACCGAAAAACAAAACCACTTAAGTATATCAACCCCTGTATCCTAGAAATAATTTCTCTTTCCTCTCTTTTGGGTCACTCCCAGCTATGCTAAAGGTTTACTCCCGCAGGACTCAGGGGAATCCATGAAATGCCATTTTCAAACCGGGGCTGGTCCCATGCCCTAAGTGCCATATGATCTCCCTAGCACAATATACTGCCACATAAGCCAGTCTAACGCAGGGGACAGCAATGAAGAAATTAGAAACTTTTGACCCCAAACTTATACTAAAAAATATTCACTAAAAAAGGTTAAAATATTCTTGCAGGGCTGGAGCAATAGCACAGCGGGTAGGGCGCTTGTCTTGCCCGCAGCCAACCCAGGTTCAATTCCCAGCATCCCATATGGTCCCCCGAGCACCGCCAGGGGTAATTTCTGAGTGCAGAGCCAGGAGTAAAACCTCTGTGCATCGGTAGGCGTGACCCAAAAAAGCTGCAAGATTTTTTTTTTTTTGCTTTTTGGTTCACACCCAGTGAGGCTCAGGAGTTACTCCTAGTTCTGTACTCAGGAATTACTCCTGGTGGTGCTTGGGGGACCTATGGGATGCAATCCAGGTAAGCCACATGCAAGGCACACACGCTACCCACCGTACTATCGCTCAGACCCCTATTCTTACAACTGAAGTCAAGGAATGTTCTTTTAGAATATACCATCCTACTACATCTTTCAGAGTACTTCGCAAATGTTGAAAAGTTAAACTTTGTATGGTTAATACTTATGGATATAAACATATTTCCATGAATATAACAAATGACCACCTCCAACAATTCATACCTGACTTCCGCTTTCTTTCTCTTGACCTTGATCGTGACCTTGAATAGTGATGTTTTGAGGCTCTAGGAGAAACGGATACATCTGACTGCTCTTTTTTCTTCTCTCTCTCTGGAGATGTCTTTTCTGGCGCTAGTTCATCTCGTTCAGCATCACTAGCCTAGAAGTTTAAAGAAAACTAATTATAGCTTCTTAACCACATTTAAAACGTCTCCAACTGCTTAGCAGCAAAGAAAATCAAGACATTTATCCCTCTGCTTTTATGAAATAGTAGCACTGTCCTCCCGTTGTTCATCGATTTGCTCAAGCAGGTCCAGTAACGTCTCCATTGTGAGACTAACAAGGTACTGTGTTTGGCATATTGAATACATCACAGGTAGTTTGTCAGGCTTTGCTGTGCGGGGGGGAATACTCGCGGTAGCTTGCCAGGCACTGAGAGGGGCTGTGTAATTGAACCCGGGTCGGCCGCAGGCAAGGCAAAAGCCCTACCCACTATGCTATTGCTACTAGTACAGTATATAAATATACAGAAAACCTATTGCAAGGAAATATATCTAACTACTGATAAAAAAATAATGCGTCATTTTTAGTTTTGTCTTTACCCTCTTCTCTAAGAGTGCTATTTACATTAATTAAATATATAATTAGGAAAAGTTCTATTCTTTCTAATAAACACTTAGTAAAAGATAATTATTCTGGTAAAATGCAATTATAATTCTGCTCAGAATACTACAATTACACTATTTTCAAATTGTCATTTCTGTTATAAAATTTTCCTATGATGAACTGGCTAGTGTTAAAATGTCTAGGTCTTTGGGCCTGGAGTGATAGTACTGTGGGCTAGCGTGCTTGTGTTGCAGGTGTATGACCCAGGTTTGATCCCTGGCAGGTCATAGAGTTCCCTGAGCATAGAAGCAAAAGTAAGCCTTGACCACTGCCAGCCGTAGCCCCCAAACCTTAATTAAACATCTAGTTCCAGGTGGTACTTTTAAACTGACAATTAAGAGCACTCAAGTCATGATTAATTACAAAGAGCTTAGTTTATTTGTGCCAGGGGCGACACCCAGTGATGCTCAGAGGTTACTCCTGGCTCACACTCAGGAACTACTCCTGGCAGTGCTCAATCCCATTATCCTATATAATAGTAGCAAGACCAATGATCAAAATGGCAAAATTCAAAAGCCATTAAATAGGCTTCATAACTGACAAAAAGGCCTAAGTTGAAATGACTAACCTAATACCAAATTTAGGTATGTAATTAGACAGATGTCTTTAAAAAAAAAAAAAAAGAGGACTTTTGGGGGGGGGGGAGAGCACACCGCACAGTGCTGGGTGTTCCTCCAGGTTCTATACTGGGACTGATGCCCGGACTTGAGAAGGGGACCCCTTGGACTGCCAGTAACGGCTGCATGCAAGGCTAGTGGTTACCTGGCCCTTTAACTTTTTTTTTCTTTTTGGGTCACACCCAGCAATGTTCAGGAGTTACTCCTGGCGGTGCTTGGGGGACCCTATGGGATGCTGGGGATCGAACCCAGGTCGACTGCGTGCAAGGCAAACGCCCTACCCGCTGTACTATCACTCCACTTTATATAATACTTCATGTATACTGGCACACATGAAGGCATTTCAAAACAAGCTAAAAACAGGCCTAAGAGACCCAAGAGTACAAATTTTATTAAATAGTGGAAAAAATGTTCAAGTATATTATGAAAAGAATAAACAGAAAGTCAACTTACCTATCTGAGAACCCAATCTTAATTTCATTAACCCTCTTTAATGAAAACAGCCCCTGGGCACAGTGCAGCTGCAAAATATGGTCTTGCTCTCCTCACATATGCTCTGGGCTATGAAAACATTAAGTTGTTTTTGCTTTAAAGCATTTTGTAAGTTATTACAGTACTAAAACAATACTCAAAGGTTTCGCTCTTCCCAGAGACCTAATTTTCCTAAAAAGGTCATCTAGGTATTATCAGCCTTTTTTTTTCAGATAATTTTATCTGCCTTAATCACAACACAGAAGCAATAAAAAAAAAGCCCACACTTTATCAATAGACTAGAATTGACAAAAGTCCCCAAGGCAAACTTTGGTACTGGACAGAGCAATCTTAGCAGTCATGAAGATTGGGCAAAGGTAAACCAATTCTGAAATGGGAGGAAATGAAGCCTGAGAAGCTGGTTGCCTAGAACATGGACAACAAACTATAGCTCTCAAGCTAAGAAAAGGCTTTACCCTGGAGGGGCTGGGTTGGAAATCCAACCAAAGCTTCTCAATGCCAGCCATGCACTTCAGTCCCCAGAGCTGTACCCTACAGGCTGGACTTATTTAGATTTTGGGTCACAGCACTTTATTCCTAGCCCTGCAATCAGGGATTACAGCTAGAGCAGTTTCACGCAAGGCAAGTGCCCTAGGAGTGCTCAGGTCCCTATTACTTTTGAAAAGCAAACAAGAGCAACAGTACAGCAGATACAGCACTAGGCTGACCTGGTTTAGCTTTTGAGTATTCCACACACGGCCCGTGAACAACCCCAGGAGAAATTCCACAGTGTAGAGCCAGGTGTGGTCAAACCACAAACTGACCAAAAAGATCTGTCCCCAATTCTGGCTTATCCCTCTCCTTTATACTACAGGGCATGTTTCCTTTTCAAACAAAATTCAACATAAAAGCAAGAAAGCAAATCTGCTATCATACTGGATACAGCCCAGGAAGTCTAATAATTGATACTGTCCTCTCCCCGCAAGAGCCCACTAGTTGGACGAAGGACATCACTATACATTTTCAGGAGGAAAAAAATCCCCACAAAAGAAAGAGTATCTTCTTTCTTTATCAAGATTACTCGAAGCAAAAATGGAGAGTAACACGTGAAGGAGGCAGGCACTCCAACTAGTTAATCACATCCAAGTTTGAGCCACTGTTGGTATACATCCAGTATCAACGAGAAAAGACAAGAGAACGTTTTTCTTTCAGTATTTATTTACTGATAGTCAAAAACCACCAAATCTGAGGTTAAGACTCCAGGTCTAAAATGATCCACGAAAGTGTACGGATGATAGGTGGCACTTCAGCAGGCAAAACCTCTAGATTTTCACTAAGACATTTTATAGCACGGTAACACAAGTGTAGTCCTCCAAATTAAAATTACTTTAAATGCAATCCAAATAGAAATCAGTCTTAATGCAAAACTGCCATCTTCTCTAGCTTTTGTTCTACTAGAACACACTGCTCCCCGAAACTTAAATCCTATTCAACATCCTTAACATCTACAATACAGTCTACGAGTGTCAATCCAGCTCGAAGCACAGCTCCTGTCTTTGGGGTAGGGGGCTCTAGCGGGTGTTGGGGAAGCCCGGGGAACACTTCCCAGGCTGTGTTTGGGGCCCTCAGGTGGCAGTACTCGCCCTAACTAGGAACATTCGTCTACCTTCCGAAATATGGGCCTGTCTTTTCTGAAGACACCGTAGAAAATGGGTTTTTGTTGTTGTTGTTGGGGGGGGGGGGGGGGCGTGACAAAGGTGATTGAGTCTCACCAAGTAAGGAAACAGAAATGCATCGGGATTGAACCCGGGTACCTCCCCGTACTCGCCTCTCTTCAGCCCCCACCGTGTGCATTACCAAAAAAAAAAAAATCTGAGCAGAAACACCCACTCTTCTTTTGTTAGATCACGGTACTGCACATAAAAAACACCTAACCTTTTTTTGCACAAAAACCCTCCCTCGCACGCGGGTTCGAGCGCCGAGTCGGAGCCCAGGGGAAGCGCCGGGCAGGGCAGGGTGTGGCCCCAAACGCGGAACAGAAAAACAAAAACGCGAGCCGGGAGGCCCGCGCGCCTCCAGCATCAGCCCCCGGGGCCTCCAGCGCGCCGGGGGGTGGGGTGGGGGGGGAGGAGGGGACAGTCCCCGCCTTTGAAAAAAATAAATACAAAGCGACATCCAGGTCCCACGCCCGCTCTCCGGGATGATCTTCTTATTACCATCTTTATTGTGAACGAGGGCGTGGGGCGGAGCCTGACCATCCTCCGGACGCCGCCGCCTCAGTTCCTGTCCCGCCGGCGGGGGTCGCGGGCCGCGAGGCGATGACATCACGGCAGCCCCGGGGGCCCACGCCGCCGCCCGGCGGTTCCTCCCGGCGGGAACAAAGGTCTCGCGCGCGGCCGCCTCCCCGCGCGTCGTCCGGGGGGCCGAGTCGCTCCTCGCCACGGACGAGCCCGGATCCCCCTCGCCCCCGCCCCAGGCCCTCCCCACCGCCCGCAGAAACTCCCCGGGGAGGGACAGACGCCTCAGGCGCCACCCGCGCAGCCCCGGAGCCCTCGACAACCAGAAGCTGCGCAAGGGCCGGGGAAAGTTCCAGACGGGGAAGGCCCTGCCCGCGGCGGCGCCCAACCCCACCGCCGCGGCCTTTCCCAACCCCCCCCCCAGCCCTCCCGCAGGCCGCCATGATGGCGGGTGCTGAAGGGGCCCCGGCGCCATTTTGTCCACTCACACCCGCGCCGGCGACAGCTCCGGCGGCCGCGCCTCCCCTCCTCCGACAGGAGCAGGAAGGCCATAACCCCAACTTTGGGCCCAGGACCCGACACCTACCGCCATGGTGCGGAGTCCTGGCCGCTGGGGCGGCGCCTCCACTCGCCGCTGCCGACAATACCGGCCGCTCGGAAGCTTCGCCACAGACTAAATGGCCCGCACAAGAGACCCGGATGGCACAAAGGGGCTGAGGCCTGGCGCGCCGCACGGCTTGCCGGGAGGAAAAGGGGCGGGGAGAAGGGTTTCGATAGCAACGAGACTCGAGGCGGTGATTGGCCGCGCCACCGGCCGGGGCGGGGACAGACCGGGAAGAGGGCGTGGCCGAGAACCCGCCCCCGAACGCGGAGTCTGGCGCTCGGAACGGGCGGAATTCGGGGTGGGGAGACTTCCTCGTTTGCCTCGCCCGCACGCTTTGGGCTTCCTCGGCCGCCGTAGCGGGGGTGGGGCTTGGGGCTCTCCCGCCAATTTAAATCCGGACTGGGTACCTGCAGCCGAGAGGGGCGGTTTGGGGGTCTGCAAGCCAGGCGGGGCACCGGCGCTCGCGTTTCGTTCCTTCAGCTGCAGGTGAGGAGCGGAGCCGCGCTGCTGTGAGCGGCAGGGGAGCGGGCTCAGGTCGGAGTCGCAGCCGCCCTCGGTTAGGCGTGTTTCGCCGCGGACGCTGGCGGGAGCGAGGGTCGGCGTCTGGCGGGAGCGGGCGCCCCGTCGGAGGCCAGCGCGACCCCGGCTCCCTTCACCTCTTCTCGGGCCTCCGCCGGCTGCCCGAGCGCCCGCGTCAGGCCGGTCCCGCGTCCCCTAAGCGCCAGCAGCCCCGGGTCGCGAGACCGGGCCCGGCGCCCCAGCTTCTCGGCTGGGCTTTGGCCAGTTAGTGATGAGTTTCGTCAGTCTGTTGGCATCTTGCTGCCATGAGGCTCCTCCTCCTCCCCCCCCCTTTTCCTCCTCCTTATTTTTTTCTTGTTATAATTTTTTATTAGTAAATCACCGTGAGGTACAGTTACAAACTTCCGGAATCTCGTATGTCAGTCTTACAATAATCGTTTACCCATCCCTCCACCAGTGCCCATTCCCTCCCCTCCACCAATGTTCCCAATATCGTTCAATTTTTTTTTTTTTTAAATTTTGGTCCACACCGTCAGTGCTCAGGGTTCCACCTGGCTCTGCACTCAGGGATCACACCTGGCACGGCTCCCGGGACCCTCTGGGCTGCCAGGTGGAGCCCAGCTTGACCCGGTGGAACCCAGCTTGATCGTATGCAAGGCAAACACCTTAGCACTGCACTATATCACTCTGGTCCCAGGAGATCTTGGATATTTTGTTGAGATCATATCAGTAATATTATCCAACCAATACGTTCCATGCTTTTGCTCATAGTTCTAGTTACATTGATCTTACCAGTGCAACACATTTAATGTTGAAAAAAATAACAAAGACAGACCCAGGAGATAACTCCAGGGTAAGGCACTTTCTTGCCTTGCACACAGCTGGCCTGGGTGGGTTCCATCTCAGGCACCCCTGTTGATCCCCCCAGGTGTGATCCCTGAGCACAGATCCAGGAGAAAGCCCTGAGTACTGCCAGATGTGGCCCAAAAACCAAAACAGAACAAAGACATCTTAATTGATTTATTATTGCTACGCTTTTTCATGAATTCCGTGCACAAATACGATTTGGTCTCTGATTTAGTGTTCCAGGGAAGGCAGTGGTTCCTGGGCCCAGAAGACAAGCTTAGAAACATGTGGAACGATATTGAGCTGCTGACAAGTGACGATACAGGAAGTGGGTACCTATGCGTGGGTTCCCCAAAAGAACATGGGACAGCTTTGTATCAAGTAGATTTACTAGCGAAGATCTCTTCTGACAAGGTATGATTGTCATACTGCTTGCACTTGCAATTTTTACTGAAGCAAATACGAAAGAAATAGCACTTTGTCAGACTCAAGGCTCAATCTTAGCTAATTGGAAGTTTTTACCTGCTTCTCCCTCTCTGAGCTTAAGATCAATAATTCGCCCCAGAAGAACTTTTGATAGGCCCTCTTGACATTTTGAGCTTACAGAATGTCAAAGAATTAACAGCAGCAGCTTGAGAAATAGAGGGGGTCCTTCTGAACAAGAACTGGGGGCTCTAAGGAGATAGTGATATGCATTATACCCTTTCAATAACTACTGCAAAACACAGTGCCTAAAAGGAAAAAAGAAAAAAGTAAAGTGTCTGTCACAGAGGCAGGCTGTGGGGGCAGGAGAGAAACTGGAAACATTGGTGGAGGGAAGTGGACATTGGTGAAGGGATGGGTGTTTGAACATGGTAAGATTGAAACTCAATCATAAACAACTATTATGGTGATTCAAGAAATTAAAAAATTAAATTATACTGTGGAGGGGAAAAATAGAAAGGGTCACTTCCTGATCTCAGTCTCTGTTCTTACTCCTGAACCAAATACCCTGAACAGCGAGTATGGGTTTAGCCTTTTCACGAATTTCTTTCCATACTTCTTATCACTGGAGCGATAGCACAGTGGGTAGGGCGTTTGCCTTACTAGCGGCCAACATGGCCGACCCGAGTTCGATTCCTCCGCCCCTCTTGGAGAGCCCGGCAAGCTACCGAGAGTATCTCACCCGCACGGCAGAGTCTGGCAAGCTCCCCGTGACGTATTCAATATGCCAAACACAGTAACAACAAGTCTCATGATGGAGACGTTACTGGGCCCGCTCAAGCAAATCGATGATCAACGGGAGGGCCTTTACCTTTACCTTACCTTTACTTCTTATAATGGACCAGAGCGATAACATAGCGGGTAGGGCATTTGCCTTTCACGAGGCCGAACCGGGTTCGCTTCCTCCGCACCCTCTCGGAGAGCCAGGCAAGCTGCTGAGAGTATTCCGCCTGCTTGGCAAAGCCTGGCAAGCTACCCGTGGCATATTCGATATGCCAAAAACGGTAACTACAAGTCTCACTATGGAGATGTTACTGGTGCCCGCTCAAGCAAATCAATGACCGGGAGGACAGTGCTACATTGCTACTTCTTATAATAAAATTTCTATTCTTATTCTAGGCTTGGGATCTTCGTCTTAGCCTCCTAGAAAATATGACTTCCTGGGTTACTTTGGGGAGTGGGAGACTCCCAAAGCAGGCCTAGAGATGTGGGGGACCACTCCTGCCAGTACTCAGCCTGATTGCGGGGCCTGGTAGTTCAGGTGTAGCCGTAAGGGTCCTAACTACGTAGTGCAGAATCCCAGGTGGTTGAGCCCATCATATACAGAACCAGAAAGTTTGGGATACAGACCAATACTAAGTATGTATTGGGACGATTTGCTTCTCTACCCCTACAGGCCTCTCTCAATCCAAAGATACAAGCATGCGGCTTGAGTGACGGTTTCATTATTGTCGCAGACCAATCAGTTATACTGCTTGACAGCATTTGTAGGTCACTTCAGTTGCATCTTGCATTTGGTAAGTGCAATGTAATTCAGTGAAATTGGAAGTTAGTTCTCTGGCTTCAGTTTTCTATCTCCTTGCCTTTTTTAATTTATTATTTTTAGTTTTTTAAAATTTTATTTTATTTTTATAATGTTGTTCACAATAATTTATTACATTTAACATTCTAACACCAATCCCACCACCTTTATTACCTACACCACCATTATTTCGAATTTTCCTAACCACCACCCGTTATTTCTAAAACTTGAAATTGGACTGATTCACGAAGTTAGTTTTGTTTTGTTTCTTTTTTTTTTTTTTGGGTCACACCTGGCGATGCACAGGGGTTACTCCTGGCTCTGCACTCAGGAATTACTTCTGGCAGTATTTGAGGGACCATATGGGATGCTGGGAATCGAACCTGGGTTGGCCACGTGCAAGGCAAACGCCCCACCCGCTGTGCCATCACTCCAGCCCCACGAAGTTAATATTGAACGCCATTACTTTTTTTCTCTTTTTTTTTCCCCAACACCTATCCCTTCACCAGTGTGCATTTCTCACCACCAGTGTCTCCAGTTTCTCTTCCCCCCTCCCTGCCCACTGCCTACCTTTCCCCCCCACGGAAAGTAGTTTTCTTCTTCCTCTCTCTTTCTCTCTCTCTCTCTCTCTCTCTCTCTTTCGCTCTCTCTCTCTCTCTGTCTCTGTCTCTCTCCTTTTGGGCATTATGGTTTGCAATATAGATACTGAAAGGTTATCAGTTATATTCCTTTACCTACTTTCAACACTCAGTTCCTGTCCAAAGTGATCATTTCCAGCTATTATTATCACACTGACCTCTTCTCTGTCCAAACTGCTCTTCGCCCCCCCAACACACACTTTTGGCATGTTCCAACCATTAACCAGTCCTCCTGGATCTTGTTATCCCTGGCTTTGGAAAACCATTAATCCTATGTGTTCAGTGCCAGACACTAGGGATGTGGCACGAAGGGGCCAAAGAGATAGTACAGCGGGACAGTGGGGAAGCCACTCGCCTTGTTTACTGCTGAGGTGGCACCCATATGGTCCCCTGAGCCTCATAGGAAAGATCTCTGAGTAGAGAGTCAGGTGTGGCTCAAAAACAAACAGAAAAACAACCCCCAAAAAAAGTGTGACTGCTAGATAATTCAAGTTTATCTACCCTTTAAAGACTCGCTGATTTCTTATTTTTTAATGTTTTTAACTTTGGGGATCATAGCACTTCTGGAGGCATTCAGGGAATATATGGACATTGGGAATTGAAACTGGGGGGCTTTAAGCAAGGCAAATGCCCTACCACTGTACTATCAGTCTGGCCCTGTTGTTCATTGTTGACTCCTTGGTGGTCCTAAATTTTTCTCCCTTGTGAACAATACCTTCTCAGGCCTTCCGAAGACCGATCGGTGCTGCCTTGCCCATTCTTGCCTTTTCTGATCTCCTACCTTGCTCTGCTTCTCCTTTTTCCAGAGAATTCATCACTTTTCACAAGTCATATAATTTGTTTATTGTGCCAATTGTAGACCTCCTACTTTAGAATATGACTTTCATAAAGGCAAAAACCTTTTGTTATTCTCAGATACACGTAAGACCTACAATAATATTTATTATATATGTGTATCGAAGTGTTCAGGAAATACTTGTTGGCTAAATAAGAATCGGTGAAACTCTTTTTTGCTTTAATTACTTTTGTGAAATACTTAAAACGTGACTCATTGACTCTCAATGGCAAAATATGCGGTTTTTCATACTGAAGCACGTTTTTAAAGGAAGTGTGTA